AAGTCAAAATGGAAATATATTTTATAAGTACATACTTTAACAATACTGAAGTCTATATTGTTTTAATTCCGATTACGATTATTACAATATAATAAATATAAAATTTAAAATACATAGATTGTATGAGTTAAACTTAATCCCTCAACGATCGCGGACACGCCGGCGTTACAGTTAACAATAGATTTCTTTGAAATTTTACTAATTTCTTAGAAATTTACCTGCAGGTGTTAATGTATATTATACTAGCTTTCGCCTGCGGCTCGACCTGAATATTTAAATAATAAATGAAACCTACTATCGACTTACACTCGCTTCACTCGTACTTTTTATATAGATAAAAATATGTAGTTATTGTGAACCTTTTTAAAGCCTACAATTTTGTTGTACATTTTTCTGATGTATATCTAAAGGTTTAGCATGCGTTAGTGTATATTTGACAAAATACCGTCTAGGCTCAATCAATTGTATAAAACATTTATAAAGTATACACACATCTTCCTCGTTTATCGCTCTTTCTATGAGTGAAAACTGTAAAAATATAATACTATAAAACAACAAAGCTGGAAGACTTATTTTAAACGAGCTGACTTCCCGAAACTAGAAAGACATTTGAAGCAAAGTAACAAACTCTCATAAAAATAGCAAATGAATACATTTTAAAACGTAAAATATAAATAACAAGTTGCTATAAGTATGAATGGTTTACAGATATCGATTCTACGATCGGGGAAAAAAGTAGGTGAGTAGATTTTTATAAGCTAAACATTCAAGCTATTCAATTTGTCTATGTAAACAATAGCACGCCCTCACTTTGTTCTCGAGACTCACTTTGTTCTCGAGACTCTCTTCGTAACCTTTACTACCCACTGATTGACTTCACGGGAACGATAATAAGTGTTCATTATTTTATGTGAGAGCAATAAAAAATACGTCTTTACGTTACCATAGTTTTATTGACAGAAAGGAGTAGACAGTATAGACAACAGATACACTACTTAATTGATTATTCTATGCTAAATATAAATGTAGCACAGATCAAAAATTTAACAATAAGATAATAGCCTTTATAAATGCCCTACCTATAAAATGTGTTGTAAATAAAAACTTAAAAAAAAACGACTTCCAGGCACTAAAATGTAAAAAATAACTAAACGGCGGTTTTCATTTAGAAGAGATACCTAATCAGATATTTTCGAAGTCGGTGCCAGCCGACGCATAGCAAATCTAATATATTTCGATACGTAAAATACATATTTACCTATTAGATATTCATATCTTAAAATATTGTAGGCTGTATGTATGGTCTAGTCCCATCTGCATTGATGCCCAGCAGTCGTGCCCAGCATTAAAGCTTATAAGGGCTGATTCATTATAATATATTAGGACTTACCCTCGATTCGCTTGGATACGATCCTAAGTAGCCTACAGTTATTTCAACGTACAGGTCATAGTATGTATGTATATATCTGTGTACTAAATTTCATCTAAATCCGTCTAGACGTAGCTTTAATGAGTTTTATATGAGTAGATGTACTTTCGCAATTTCAAGAGTAATACGATTACAATTAAGAGTTTATATGAGGGTGTAGGTTTGATACTTCATCACTATGTGGTTTAGCGGATTTGAGGTACATTCGCAATAGTAGAGATATCCTTGCATCATTGTTGGACTTGTCACTGCCTGATACGTGTTGTCAGACGTGTTTGATTAATGTATCGGTTATGACTTATATCACACAAGTTACACGTCCTGATTGCTGTTAAGACATCGAATCGAGCAGGCTCTAATATTCAATTAGATTTAGGTACGTGCAACTGGACGGAAATCTTTCATTAACATGAAATCTTTATCTTTAGTAGTACAAAAATATGTTTGTTAGTTTGTTCACTTTTATCCAGCAACAGAGCAGTAAATTAACATACATTTTGCATAAAGATAACTTATGCACCGGAGCGTGAAATAAGCTCCTTTTTATCCCGATACATTACAAAGCCTCCGAGTTTTAAAGATGCGGCAAAAGTACGTTTTATTGTATGGATGAAAAGAAATTAACTGATGAAAAGAAAACCTAGAATCCTCAACATGGGATTAATACTTGTTCAAGAGAAAGGACGCAGTTGTAGGGTCGGTGTTTTAAATGTCTAGTCTTATCTGAGCAGAATCTAGATCTATCATTTAAAATTATATTAAAGTTTCACATGTTTTGTCTTAGCCCGACTGGACAACGATCTGAAATAAAATATTTTTCCTGAGCAGTAATGAACCTACAACCTACATCGTAGTACCAACCAAAAGCAGAAAGAAATATAAAATCATTAAATAGTTTTGCAAAGTCTAGACGTATTTTTTTAATAAAAGTGGTGTATACTTGAAAATTCATATAACTTGGTATATATGTATAGATGTACCAAGTTATCTGATTTTTCATAATGTTGTTCGTTACAACCTACATAATTTAATATTTATTTGAATTTCAATAGAAGTAGTTTATACATATATTATACATAGTTCGTTAAAAAAATTAACTTTAAAAGAAATTAATCACTTTTGCTAAGTAGATCTAAAAGTATAGAGCTTTAGATAACAATTAAACCATAGTGGTTAATTAAAAAAAATATAAATACCATAAGAGCACACATAAACACTAACATGATAAAATTATGACCTAACTTCTAACTGCAAAAAATATGTTGTGGTCAAATACAACGTACCTATAGGAAAAATATACGACGCAATTGAATTCAATAGCTCGAAGGAAGTAACTTTATTACTTTCTAAGTTTCCAAGAACAACAAACGAAATAAATTGTGGCTTCAAAGGTCTGAAATATACCTTTTGAGTTATAATAAAATGAGAAAATCGTAATATTATACATGTGTCATAACGAGTATTAAAAAACAAGAGTATTTTATATAAAAACATTTTACAGTGTAAATTAAAGCAAACGTTTGTATAGGCCGACAAAATAGAGATGTAATTCTTGGTGAAGTTTATGAAATAATAAAGGCATTAAATAGCAGGCGCTCACCAAAAACGAAACATGAACAAACGGCATAAACAAGTAGCGGGACAATTAACCTCTTAAATTTCTTGTCGCGCCCGTTCCGAGATACACCGCAGTCGCAGTAGTAATTTCGTTAAAATATATGCAAGGAGTGTGTCGCCAACAGCTAAATTATGACATAATTATAGCGATTTAATCGTTTGCGAGTCACGAAGGTGGCGTCTTACAATTTAATACAATTATTTGTATTGTAAAAGCATCTTTGTCTTTTGTTGTCTTAACAATTATATATCGAATATTGTAATTATTAATTCTATTCTAATATTATAACGAGGAAAAATTTGTTTTTTATTTTTTGTTTGTTTGTATCGAATAGGTTCCAAAACTATTGAACCGATTTAGATGAAGTTTGGTAAGAAGATAGTTTCAGACGAACACTACTAACAAAACTAGCGACTCAACCTCGCTTCGCTCGGGCTTATCCCTGGGTGATTCTTTAAATTAACATATATTTTTTATTTATAATCGGATTGAAATAATACAAATAGTAAATGTTAATTGAAGCTTACCACAATACATTGACAGAGAAAACCGCATACAAATTGGTTAGGCCGTCCCTGCGATTATCGCGCTCAAACGCATAGACAAACAGACAACCCGACAAACAGACAAATAGGCAAAAATTCTAAAAATTATTATTTAAGAATATCAATAGTCTTTCTCAAATATCTTCAATGTATAGACAGCGATCAGTTACAATTATATGTACGATGAGATAAGCCAGCATTACTTGGGTAAATAGAAAAATCTACCGTCAGTTCGACGGCAAGGTAGGTGCAGGTTACTAAGAAAATCGTCGTAGCATTTTCTTCAAATCATTCCCTGCAATTTAGGGTCCATCGTTATCGGTAACACGTCGTCCGAGATTGGTTTTAACGCTTATTTATTGAAAGGCTGTCTCCTGCTGAAATTACTACTGGGATCATGGTGTCACCGCGGGTTGTTTTATGTGGTCACTGGCCGTTACACTTTGATTCCGTGCACTTAAGTGTACTTCCCTTGCGAGGATCTTGTTCATTGCCATATTGATTTTCTGAAGTAGTTCTAGTTAGGGTGTCCAATACGATTATGTTATATTTTGTTCACGATGAATCGGCGCTGACGAGGCTTCGTTTGATAAGAGTTGATAACTGAGTTACATGTACGAGTAATATGTTAGACTTGTGATACTAATTTGGCTCTTTGAATTTACTTTCATGTAATAGGCGTACGAACTATGAATATACGTATTTAGTTAGTAGATATATTATTCCAATACAATGTATATAAATGAGAAAAATATTACAAGAGGTTCGTATGAAACGTTCAATATGATATCATTTCTATATTTTATCGTACTGCCTCGGTGGTGTAGTGGCTAGCATGTACAGCTGCACGCTCGGAGGTCCTGGGTTCGAGTCCCGGGTCAGGCCAAGTTAAGTTATTGAGTCTTTCTGTATAGTAAGTCTCAGTAACAGCCCGGAGTTGGGAAGTTGGCGGTGTTTCACCCCCGTGCCTCGGAGAGCACGTAAAGCCGTCGGTCCTGCGCCTTAACTCCCACTGGTCGTGTCGAGCGGTCGTCCCACTAGAGTATAAGAGTGACAGAAATAGAGAGTGCACTTGTGTCTGCGCGTACACTTGTGCACCAAATATCTCCTGCGCAGTTGGCTAGTCTCAATGAGATTGGTCGCCGTAGCCGGAATCGGCTAGGAGAACATCATCATCATTTTTATCATATTAGCAGTAATATAAATATCACAAATGTCCTATAATCTACGACCACCTTCGAAAACTAAATAAGTACGTGTAAATATATGTTGTTACTATAACAACTCTATTTTTCCCAACCAATTTCCACTGTCTCCTTCATTTTACGCGACATTGGCAAAGTAATCTCCTTAACTGACACACTTATAAGGTATTTATTAACAAGATATACTGAAACAACGCAAGTCACTCACCTTCAAACACAGTAAGAGTGGCTACAGCAGTCACCGCGTCACCCACACCGTTTTCAGCGACACATTCGTATGTAGCATCGTCGCGCTGAGCTCTAACTGGCTCGATACGTAGTACTGCACCATTCGCGTTCGGTCCGGCCGCCGAGTCCATGCCAGATACTTGGTACCGTGACTGCATACCTGTAAAGAATATCCTCATATTATATTTTACTTAGATATTTAACGTTATCATTTTATGTTACAAGATCTTTAGATTGTATGTGCGTGTGCGTGTGTGGCTAGACGTGATATACATATGTATTATATATATTATATATATATATATATGTATATATATATATACATCTATATATGTATGTATATATGTATATCGTATTTTATCTATATTTAGTAGAATATATAACAAATACATATAAACATAAAATTAAAAAAAAAACAAAAACGATCCTTTTCAAACGTCACTTTTGTACAGCATTTCAGTTTGAATTAAAAATAAAACTACAAGTGAATCAGCTAGCCAACATTTAGGTAGTCATTGAAAAACGAAGCGACTGCTAACGCTGTTTTAATTTTATTCACATTTCAAACCGATATCAAAATAGAGTTCCTATTTTTTCCCCCAGCAGTTTTGTTTACAATACGAAAACCTAATAAAGGTAGCCAAATTGCAAATTCGATGCATGTCACTAATTTATACTGACTTAGTTACAGTCATCGTACAGTTAGTTAATCGTAATTTGTTTAGTTTGGATGATATTTAGTTTGTATCGACAAATTAATTTGTTATTACACGCATTAATGTTGGTACGAAACAAGTAATAAGTAAATACCGCTTCGTTACACACTATTTAGGCTACCATTTACTCTGTGTCAGGGGACGGACATACATCTATATTCTATACTAATACTACAAAGAGGCAGAGTTTGTTTTTTTTTGTCGTTCGTTCGTTTGTTTGTTTATTTATTTATTTGTTTGTTTGTTTGTTTGTTCGTTTGAACGCACTAATCTCAGAAACTACTAATCCGATTTGAAAAATTCTTTTCGCATTAGCTACCCTGTTCATTAAGAAAGGTTATGTATATACTATATCTAATACCTTTAAATGACCAATTCTCGGAAACGGCTCTGAAGGTTTCGCTGAAATTTGATACTTAGGGGTTATCGGCGGCAAAAAATTGATCTAGATTATTCTTATGTCTGGGAAAACGCGTGTTTTCGAGTTTTGGCCAAAAACTCCGAGCGAAGCTCTGTCGCCCAGGTACTATCATACAATATAGGCTATCTATTCCATACTAACCGTTAAAATGTACCTGGGGGCGAACCCGAGTGTAGCGTAGGTGAGTCGCTAGTATGTACATACAACTGCAACATAATATATTCATATGGCCTATATAATTATTGGTTCGCAGTCGAGTTCAAACCCACTACCTTCGGCGTAAAACCACTGACATAGCACACCGTCATTTAGATATCTAAAGATAAAATAGATTTATTGGAATACAATAAATACTAAAGCATATTTCTTTTTTCATAAATAACAATTTGCATTCAACGTTTATTAAATCTTATACCGCCAGATGTAACGTCCGCGATTCATTGAAGAGCGTCGTTTGCATTTTGCAACAAGAAATTGTAAAAAAAGACCACGAATGCTGTTGTTCTCTTGTCCCCTATCATAAGAGAATAAAGTCGAAGTTGTGTCGACGCGGTACACGAGTTTGTTGGTACGATACAAGCTGGCGTAGGACAGAGCTAAATCGCCACTCGTAGTAAGTGCCACAGAAATGTATTTCCACAACAAGTGAGAATAATCGTTGTCTTTCTACAATCTCTCCTTTAGAAGATAATGCTTTCAACTTGGTTTACCCTATTGTTTATTTCAGAATAGTAACTCATATAAAATATATACATATTACTTACATGCCTCTAGTACTATTCAACTGCCTCGGTGGTGTAGTGGCTAGCATGTACGGCTGCATACCCGGTGGACCTGGGTTCGAGTCCCGGGTCGGGCCAAGTTTAGTTATTGAGTCTTTCTGTATAGTAAGTCTCGGTAACAGCCTGGAGTTGGGAAGTTGGCGGTGTTTCACCCCCGTGCCTCGGAGAGCACGTAAAGCCGTCGGTCCTGCGCCTTAACTCTCACCGGTCGTGTCGAGTGGTCGTCCCACCGGAGTATGAGAGTGACAGGAATAGAGAGTGCACTTGTGTCTGCGCGTACACTTGACCACTATAATATCTCCTGCGCAGTTGGCTAATCTCAATGAGATTGGCCGCCGTAGCCGGAATCGGCTAGGAGAACATCATACATATTACTTATATATGTAAGTTAAAAGTGAAATGAACATAACATGTACTTGCCTTAAATTTATTAAAAAAAAAAAACAAGTTTTATGGTTAGTTAGAATGTGTTTAATGAGTGGCTGGAATTAAATTAGTGTTCCGGTTAATTGTGGGCAACCTATTTAATCATAAGTATTAATTACTAGCGACTTACCCTTGCTTCGCTCGGGTTCGTCCCTAGCATGCTTCCCCATACAAACTTTCATCCCCATTTTCATCCCCCTAAGGGATGATTTCCGGGATAAAAATTATCCTGTGTCCTTTCAAGGGTCTCAAACTATCTTCTTACCGAATTTCATCTAAATCGGTTTAGTAGATCCAGAGATTACTCCCTACAACGTCACAAACTCAGACTCTTACACTATAGGTACCTCTTTATAATATTAGTATATATTACTATTAGTACAGTATATTAGTATTGTACCTACTACTACTAATGGCGTGCTCGTTTGAAAAACCAATTGAAACGGGTTTAAATCTCGGATCTCGCAACTCTGATATTCTCCCACTTAATGATGACTTACGGGGAAGAATCGTGAGGAAACCTGCATGTCTGAAAGAACCTAGTTAGCTAGCTAAGTAGAAGTTTTCGAAAGACATGTGAAGTTTGCCAACGTGGTGGCCTATATCCCCCTCGTATTGAAGGGAGGCACACCCTCAGCACTGGGACATTAAAAAGAGCTGAATACAATATTAATACATGAATATAATGCCAATATTTCTAATAACTCTTCCTAAAATGTATACGATGATATGCTAGTAATATTGTAATATGTACAAAAATATTTCCAAACATTTTTTTATTAATAAATAGAATTAAAGTATGTTAAAATGAAATAAATGAAATAATATTTCAATTACAATAGTAGTTTTCATTAGCATGTCGACAGTGTATACTGTAGGTAGGCCAAGTTAATGGTTTTTTTTCATTACATGTAAAATTCATCATATAAACGGCAGGTTTATTTGTTTGTGCTATGTTGACTCCGCTTATGTTACTTATATATTTCAAAAAATGTTTAATTTTTTTTAATATTTCTTTTTATTTAACGGTTAGTATAGATTTCTCAGATGAGATATTTTCCTGCACTGAAAAGTATCCTATATATCGGATAACCATCTATCATCATACACAAATTTCATCAAAATCTGTCCAGTAGTTTTCTCGAGATGCTTTCCTAGACAGACAGACCAAAATTCTAAAAACTAAAGATTCGGCCTCTGTATCGATAATACTATTTCAATGCAAAATTGAATAAGATTTGTATTATTAGATATTTTTATTAAAAATTCAATATTTTTTTCAAAAATATATTTAATGTACAGAATCGAATCAGTTAGAATTTTATTATATGTATAGATAAGTTTTCTCATAACAGTGCAATTATACACTGTGCACAACATCAATGAAGATTTAAATATTAAGTAAATCAATATTGTATGTACATATATAAATATAATGAGAAATTTTGAATATAATCACAAATACAAATATATAGTGATAAATGATAATTATAAAAGTTATTAAGACAAGTGACTTTATTTATTACTCCGTATAAGCCATATTTGATACTCCTCATATAAAGATATAAATTATTATATCCGTAATGTTTTGTTAGAAGAAGAATCTTTATTTCGTATCGAAAATATATGTGATGATGATGATGTGATGATGTTCCTGACCGATTCCGGCCACGGCGGCCAATCTCATTGAGACTAGCCAACTGCGCAGGAGATATTATAGTGCACAAGTGTACGCGCAGACACAAGTGCACTCTCTATTCCTGTCACTCTCATACTCCGGTGGGACGACTGTTCGACACGACCGGTGAGAGTTAAGGCGCAGGACCGACGGCTTTACATGCTCTCCGAGGCACGGGGGTGAAACACCGCCAACTTCCCAACTCCGGGCAGTTACTGAAGCTTACTATACACAAAGACTCAATAACTAAACTTGGCCCGACCGGGACTCGAACCCAGGACCTTCGGGTGTGCAGTCGTACATGCTAGCCACTGCACCACCGAGGCAGTTGTATGTATGTATGTATTGTATGCATTATTTACTATAAGCTTTTTATTAAATTAATTTATATTAAATATCTGTTTTGAGTTTGCATAATTTAATTACCTAGATTAATGATTATAAATAATACGTCGACTTCCATGTTCTGTAGGTTTTGAATATTTTTATATTTTGTAAATCATCACAAAGCATAAAACTAAACAAAATAAATAAATGTAACATTTTAAATAAAACTATATTTTCGGATTTTTTTGCGGATTGATTTTGACTTTTGGTTCCCGACATTTCGAATACTTTACAGTTATCATGGTCACGGGAGAGACTAAAATCCGAAAAGATAGTTTTATTAAAACTGTCAAATTCGCATAAATCTAATAAAGTATTAAATAAATTTAAATTATTATTCCTTTTATAATACTTTCTTAGATTTACGCGAATATTATTTATTTCTATTACTTTAACATTTTATTCACTACAATTATGGATTTCTTGGAATATTTAAGTTAGAACAGTTACATTTCAAAAAAGCATGCTAATTTTATCTATGTATATCGGTTAATCGTAATTTTTTTGTCTTGACAAATCACATCCAACAGACGTATAAATAATATCCATTACAAAAAAAATAGCAGACTTTTTAATAGAAAAAGGCGTAAATGAGAACGATCCGACTGATAAAAAGTTGCTATCGTAGCTCATAGAGACATCTGCAACACAAGAGGAATTCCAAATGCATTTATTCTAACGAAAAATTTATTTACAAACACATATGTTTAGTCAATAAACTGATTAAACCATCCACCACACTCTTGCCCT